CCTAATTTCTTGAGTCATGTTTAGTATCAAATGAACAGGTAAACTTTCTAGTTTTAGAATATGTTTATTCCGTTAGAAGAAACTAATTGATTCAAAAACTAGAGCTTAAAAAGTCCAAAAACGAATTTTTTACTTTGACAACTCGTAACTCTGGTGCTCCCTAACTTCATAGTTCATGTTTAGCATCAAAAGAACCAGTAGACTTTCTAGTTTCAGAATATGTCTACTTCGATGGGGGAAACTCAGTGGTTTAAAAACTAGAGCCCAAAAAGTCCAGTGATCTCGGGTCGCGTGTGGCTATTTCGACCAAACCAGCCCCTGTGCTTGCTTTGATTTGACCACCCGCGACCCAAAATCAATGGACTTTTTGGGCTCTAGTTTTCAAACTACTGAGTTTCCCCCTTCAAAGTAAACATATTTTAAAACTAGAAAATCTATTGGTTCTTTTGATACCAAACATGACACATGAAGTTAGGGAACACCAGAGTTACGAGTTTTCAAAGTAAAAAAATTCGAAGTTTGTACCTGTTTTTGGAGCTTCTGCAGCGAACCATTTTGGATCACGGTTTTTTCATAAACAATAAGAAATATATGAGTGCGCAGCAGACTCTAGAGATGCAAATAAAACCTTTGATCTCCATTAAAAGTGTTTCCAATAGCTCACAATGCCCCAAAAAGTGTCCAACAACCTTCAAAATTATGGGTCACGTTTTTTAGTTTTCAATCAAAAACCCCTTGGTTTCCCCCAACGAAACCGACATATTCGTGATTCAAATGGTCTACCCTTTCTATCCATAACCATGTTAGCCTTTTTAACGAGGGAACAAAAAAGTAGGGAATTGTTGGCAATGGCCTTTCAGTTACATTTAATTTTTAACAATTTTTTAAATAAAAAGTTTTAATTTAAAATATATGTGCTAATTTTTTTGCAACATTTTTGTTTGTATCATCAATTGATTTTTTAGAGTAAAAAGTTAACTTTTATTTTACGTTCCAACTTGTTCATTTTTTGCATTAATGCCAAATGCACCGTTAGGTCAACAATGATTTTTGTTGCATTTAACTTAAATTGCAAATTCAAGTTTTACTTTATGCAAATTTTTTCTACTTTTTTGGGTGTTGAAAAAGTCACCGCATTCTTGTCAATAACAAACAGTTTTTGCCTTTAAACAGGTTTAATTTTTAATAGCAGGTCATTTAATCACAGATTTTTTGTGATCAGGTTTTACTTTGCCTGGTTTGTGGCCAGAGGCAGAATAACTTGAAATTGAAATTGCAACAAGGTGGCAATTTTTCATGTCATTAAATTTGTCGGACATCATTGCCATTGTTGTCAATTGCAATTTTTTTTGCTAAAATTGCTAAAGGCAAAAAATCTTTATTTGTTGCAAAAAAACATTTTTTATTGCGTTTTTAACATTGTTTTTAACAAAACGTGCTGATTGAAAAATGTACAAGAAGAATTATTGCAATTATTATTAATGATGATAAAAACTGAGATAAAAACTAAATAATAAATCAAATATAAAAAGTAAAATCTGATTTTTTTGACAAAATTATTTTTTGCAAAATAAATTTAAACATTTGTTTACAAATACTTTTTATTAAAACGTAAATGTTAAAACATTGTCAAAATAATTATTATTTGTTTTTATAATCTTAATATTACAAGTGCTACAACGTTTTCTAGTAAATTACTGTTTTTAAAATTTAAAAAAATACAATTGATATTGAAAACAATTTTTACAATAGCAACAACAAGTACAAACTCATAAATTTTAATATTTTACAAAATTTAGTCAATTAAAAACAAAATATTTAATTTAAACCGGCATAACTACAATTTAATGGTAGTTTTTTAAAAACACAAAACTTAAATAATTTTGTTTATTGTCATTTTAAACGTTGAACAACTGCTATTTTTTAATTTGAAACTCAGTCCAGTTTTAATTAAATTTACACAGACACACATTGTTAGTGCAAATACAAAAGACTACCACTATTTACAAATCATTAATTGTGCCGGCCTCTCTGCTGTTCCGGCCAGAAGATTGCCGTAATGAACTGTGTTTGTGTTCATAACTTTTCTGCTTTGCATTTATTTGGCTTGGCTTGAATATTTGCGTTTGTTTACCGCGTGCACACTGTGCAGTCCGTTTTACTGTCCATTTTGACAACAATAAAAAATCTTTTGACCTGCCTTACTTCTGCTTGCCTAATGACCGATAATGTCATTATCATCATAATTATCAGCAGCATTCTAAATATCATTAAGGTTAATTATTAATGGTTTTTATCGGCACTACTACTTTTTTGCTGCTATTGCTATTGTCAAGATTGTTTTAGTAGGACAACAGCAATCGTGATGATAGGGTAAATAATAGTTTTTCCCGTACTAGTGCAAACAAAAAAAATTGCACTTGTACATTTTTAGTTTGTCAATGTCATTTGCCCATTGATTTTTTAGTTTGCAAATTGTTTCAAAACACACTGAACAAGTTTTAATTTATTTAGCACAGTAAGAAAAAAAATGAAATTAGGGAGGAAAAACTAAAAAAAACTTGACGGACAGCAAAAATTCAAGGGCAGAAACGGCGGTGGCGACGACAGACAGACAAAAGGCAAAAGTTGGGGGCAAAAAAGACAGACACAGCTGCTGCTGCTGCTGTACACTGTACAATGCCAGGCCGGGCCGTTTCACGCTCGAGCGCCCACCAACGGTATTATTACTGTGTGCTTGTGTGTCTATGTGTAAATTAAAGATTCCCAGTTGGAATATTACCCCAAATGGTATATGATTACGGCTGAAGATGATGGTCACTTTTTCTTTTTTTCTCTTTTTGTTCTCTATTGTCTCTGCTCTATTGGTGGTCAGATCAAAAGAGAGAAATAGGAATGAATGAATGAATGAAATGAACGGTCAAGTCAACCTTCAACCTTCGGAAATCCTCTTTTGCTCTCTCTCTCTTTTTCTCTCTGTATTTATGTTGTAGAAGTTAAAAAAAATGAAAAAATGAAAAATAACGGCCGACGGAAGTGCACGGAAGTGACTGCCCATTTGCTGGGGTGGCATCAGCTGGAAAAATGAGCTAAAAGAAAATTGCTGAAAAGGACTAAATTGAAGACATTTTTTTATAAATTGAAAATTTTAACTGCACAATTTTGTTTGTGTTTATACAATCAAAAAAAGAGAAAAGGAATAGAAAACAATAGTAAAAACTCAAAAATATGCAATTATTAAAAAAATTACATTATTGACTTTTCCAATAATGGTTTGTACTGTAGTCAGTAATTTAAACTTTTTTAAAATTTTGCTGATTGGTTTTTTAACCAACAAAACTCAAACTAAATAACTCATTTTTAATGCCGTATCCTTTTCAATAATTTACACTAATTGACGCAATAAATTTTAAATTTTTTGCCGCATTTTTGCAGAAAAAATTATACTCAAAACTTTAATACTAAAGAATTTTAAATTCTTAGCTGTTTTATAGCCAAAAATAAATATAAAAAATATTAAAAAAATAACATAAAAAAATTTTGCTTTGCAGTTTACTAAAATCAAACTCTCAGATAACCAGATGTAGCTATTATTTGGAAATGTTGTAAATGTTAAGCTAACATAAAAATGATAGAAAAAAATTGCTGTGTGCGTGAGGGTAGTATGTTTTTATAGCTTACTACTACTGTTGCTGTTGACTACTCACTTTCAAAAAATCCGGGCTTAATGCGATTAATGCACTTCTGATGAGGATGCGGCAGTTGCCGCCGCTATTTAAATAGGTGAAAAAACTACTAATGTTTCTTTTTTTAGTTTTTAGTTTTTTCGCGCTAGCATTACAAGAAAAAATTTAGGAAACAGATAAGATAAAACACACATTTGTGCACAATAATCAGTTAAAAGAAGAACATGCATTCAAATACTGGCTTTTGGTGTTGAAATGTTTTGCATTATTAAATTGTGTAATTTACTTTTTTGTAGCGTTCTGGTCATAAAAACGGTTTTTTATGTTTGCTAGTTGTAAAGTTGGAAGTTTTTTTAATTTTGCTCAAATATTTATCATTATTATTAGTCGTCAAATTTGGATAAATAGATTATTTGTGTTTTCACTAGGTTTTAAAAAACACTATATTTTTGTACATTAAACTTTATGGCAAATAAAAATACAAATAAACATATGAATCAAAACAATGCTGCTAAAAAAATTAACAATTTTTTAAACAGTGCGATAAAGTAACTTTTTTTCTGATCAGAAAAAATGCGGTTTTTGTTAGTATTTGTCAGCTCATTTTTCAAAAAAAACAAATAAAATGCGCAACATTTTTACACTTTTAAAATGTATTTATTATTATTTTTTACAGAAAAAAAATTCTAGGAAATGGCACAAAAAAGTTCAAATATGTAAATAGCAGAAAAAGGTTCAGCAATATTCAAACTGAAAGTTGAGAATAATGTCAAATTTCAATTTAAAAACGCTTCTTCTCTCTTTCTCTTTTTGTAAAAGCAACCTGAATTATTTATAAACCTTAAACTGACAATACCATCACCGCCTCCATTTTGCTGGGAATAGTTGTTACTTTTTCTTATGCTGTTGCAATTGCTGTTTGTTTGTCCAGAAAAAAAGAGAGAAAAATGATTATAGTCATTTTTATTCAATTTGAATTCACATTTTCTATTTTGAATTTTGAATAAAAAGTAAAAAGTAAAAAAAGCCAAAAAAAGCGTTTTCAAAATAAAACTATTGTATGGCGTAAAAAATTTTCCCTCTTTAGCGGCCCTAGCTTTGCTGAGAAAATTTCTCCTTGGCGCCGTTTTCAATGGAAAAAATTTGAAAATCCGGTACAAAGTTTATGAGTGGGTCGCTAAGAAGGCGAAAAAAAGTCGGCCGTTGACTTTGCCGTTGTTTTGTTTTGGATTTTATCACAACCAAACTTTGAAACCTTGAAACTGATCCAGGACTTTAACTTCCGTTCTTCTTCACTTCACTTCCTCAACACAGATCTGCTCGTATGTGGTGCACAAGCGGTGCCACGAGTTTGTCGCCTTCAAGTGTCCGGGCCTGGAGAAGAAGGATGCTTCTTCTAGTGCCAACCAACATGGCCGGGCCGGTGACCCGCGGACGAAGCACAACTTTGCCCTGCACACCTTCACCTCGCCCACCTTCTGTGATCACTGCGGCTCGCTGCTGTACGGCCTGCTGCACCAGGGCTTCAAGTGCAAGGCCTGCGACATGAACGTCCACAAGAAGTGCCAGGAGATGGTAAGGAGAAGGAGAAGGGGATGATCAATTCTTTCTTGGTCCTCGATTCTAAAACCTTTCCTCTCCCTCTTTTTAGGTTCCCAACCTCTGCGGCTGTGATCACACCGAACGCCGTGGGCGGATCGAGCTGAGCATCCGCGCCAACGAGGAAGCGACCCGCCTCATCTGCAACATCCGCCAGGCGAAGAACCTCATTCCCATGGACCCGAACGGCCTCTCTGACCCCTATGTGAAGTGCAAACTAGTGCCGGAGTACAGCGGCGAGCAGGGAAAGCGGAAGACCCGAACCATCAAGGCCTGCCTCAACCCCGAGTGGAACGAGACGCTCGCCTTTGACCTGAAGCCGGACGACAAGGACCGCCGCCTGCTGGTGGAGATCTGGGACTGGGACCGGACGAGTCGCAATGACTTTATGGGCTCTCTGAGTTTCGGCGTCTCCGAGCTGCTGAAATGTCCGGCGGAAGGCTGGTACAAGCTTCTGGACCAGGACGAGGGCGAGTACTACAATGCAAAGGTGCCGGCCCCCGGTGAGGACGTCGATATTTTGCTGGACATGCGCCTGAAGTCGGTCACCTCCAATGTGACCTCCTCCTCCTTCCGGCCCCGAGGATCGGAGGACTTTTCGAGGTAAGGTTTTTAGAGGTTTTTGAGGTTCTATTTTTAACTCCAATTTCTACTTCTTTTTTAGCTCCTCACTGGCTCCTGAAACCCTGTCAAATACCTTCTCCACCTCGAGCATGCTCAACAGTTTGAGCACGATGATGAGCCCCAGTTCCAGCTCTTCAGCCATTCCCCACAACATGGGCAAGCAGGACGTGATTAGGGCCACTGACTTCAACTACATCATGGTCCTGGGGAAGGGCTCCTTCGGGAAGGTGATGCTCGCCGAGCGGAAGGGAACTGATGAACTGTACGCCGTGAAGATCCTCAAGAAGGACATCATCATCCAGGACGATGACGTCGAATGTGCCATGGTCGAGAAGAGGGTCCTCGCTTTGGCGGAAAAACCCCCCTTTCTAGTTCAACTCCATTCCTGTTTTCAGACGATGGACCGCCTCTATTTTGTAATGGAGTACGTCAACGGCGGCGACCTGATGTTCCAGATTCAGCAGTTTGGCAAGTTCAAGGAGCCGATTGCCGTTTTTTACGCAGCGGAAATTGCCATCGGCCTCTTCTTTCTTCATTCGAGGGGCATTATTTATCGAGACCTGAAGTTGGATAATGTGTTGTTGGACGAGGACGGCCACATTAAAATTGCCGACTTTGGCATGTGCAAGGAGGGAATTTTTGGCGGAAAAACTACTAAAACCTTCTGTGGCACTCCGGACTACATTGCTCCGGAGATTATTCAGTACCAGCACTACGGGAAATCGGTAATCAGTGCTTATCAGAACTGTTGATAAGTTTTCTAATTTTTTTTATCCTTTTCTCCTAGGTGGACTGGTGGGCCTACGGCGTCCTCCTCTACGAGATGCTCGTCGGCCAGCCGCCCTTTGATGGCGAGGACGAGGAGGAACTGTTTGCCGCCATCACCGACCACAATGTTTCCTACCCGAAATCGCTCTCCAAGGAGGCAAAGGACATCTGCAAAGGCCTTCTAGTCAAGGACCCAAAAAAGCGGCTCGGTTGCTCAGAGGCGACCGGGGAGGAAGATGTTCGGTCGCATCCCTTCTTCAGGCGCATCGACTGGGATAAGATTGCCAAGCGAGACGTCCAGCCGCCCTTCAAGCCGAAGATTAAGCACCGCAAAGACGTGTCCAACTTTGATAAGCAGTTTACCTCGGAGAAGACCGATCTGACGCCCACTGATAAGCTTTTCATGATGAACCTCGACCAGAGCGAGTTCTTCGGCTTCAGCTTTCTCAATCCGGAGTTTATACAGCACGTTTGATTTTTGCGATTCTTTTGAGATTTTTTTTTCGGCACACGGCACACCCACACACAGGATCACCTAAAGGTATGTTAAAAAACTGTTATGTTTTGATTTGTACATACACGCTTCTTTTTTGAAGTCTTTTTGAAAATCACCGTTTTCACTCGTCGACTTTGAATTGACTCTGCCAAACAAAAAATCCAGTGCTAAATGCTAAAAGCTGTTATTTTTTAACAAATGGAAAAACTGACAAACATCTCGACTCTTTTGAGCATAATCACACTTGTTCCAAGTTTTGTAAAAAAATCTCAATTTTTTCTTCTGTTTTGATGATGATTTTCGTTTTCAATATTGCCTCTCTCTTTGCAATAACCAACCAGACTTCACTCGTGATATCAGACCACTTCACTACACTTTATTTTCGTTTTTTGCAATACTCTCATTTAAATTATGATGATTTTTGACCACTCTCTCTCTCTCACCATTTCACCATTTGCACACAATTTCACCCCCTCACTCACTCATTCACACACACACACATCATTGAAATCATCAATGAAAAAAGACTCAACATTTAACTTTGACCACTGTACCAATTTTCACTTTTTTGTTTGTTGATCTTCATTTTTGTTTCGTTTTGCTCTCACGCCGTTTAGCTTCCAATTACTTTGTGTGATTTTACCTCTTCTGACTTTACCTCTGCACACACCTTCAGTTTCACTTCCTTGAGTGCTTCCCTTTTCGTTTTGTATTTACAAAAGTTTAAACAATATCAGTATCACCGACTTGAGTTGTATAAAATAATACTAAAACACAAAACAAAACCCATAATCGTAATAACTGTCTTATAAACAACCAAAAAACAAACAAACAAACAAATTTTTGCTTTCTTTTGTTTTATAACACACATTGAAACACACAAAACACATGTCGCAAAATTAAATAAAAAATAATTTTAAGATTAAAAATTCACAAAAAAGCTCTAAAATTTTATTTTATCAGTTTAAATAAAATGATTTTGTTTTCATTTTCAGTTGTTTTTTTAAAATAAAAAATGTAGTCAAATCATATGTGTAAAAGAAATAAAATTAACATTAACGATAATGTTTTCTCAGCTTTTGCTTGAGAGCAAAACTTACCTGACAGCATAGCAGGCTGACTGATCAACAAAAAACTTAAATTGTACTTTTTGGTGTTTTTCTACAGTTTTATTATCTCAAATGTTATCGTTATTTGGCGGAAACAACATTTTTGAGTGCAATTGATTTTGTGCAAAATATAAGTTACACGATTAACTTTTTTGCACTTTGCACTTTGCAAAAAAGCTAAGCTAAATATTGTAAAAAGTTTCCAAATTCATTTCCATTTCCTTCAAAGTTGTTTCGGATTTTTAAATTTTGTAAACTATGTTGACATTGAGACGACTTTACCTTGCTTTGGTGCAATACTTTTTCACCTTGCTAGCTTTATTTGATCCGATTGCAAGCGGCAGCAACAACAGCCCAAAAACCGAAAACGACCACTTTCTGGGAGTTCCGACTGACCAACTGTACAGCCGCTTAAAGCAGTCCTCCTTCTTCTGGCCACTCATCTCGCTGGTCCTCTTTGAGGTGATTGGCATTGTCGGCCTAGAGGTGGACTCTTCCGGTGAGCTTCGGTGGTGGTCTCGGCTGGCCACCTCGCCGGCCATCGTCGTCCACCAGATCATCCCCCGGGCGGTGTGGCCGCAGATTGACCTCTTCTTCTACATTGCCATCAATGGGGCGTCGCTGGCGGCAGCGGCGCTCTACCAGGCGCCGCTCATTGCCGAGGCTTATCGGTTTTTGGTGAAGGAGACCGAAGAGAGAGAAAATAATATAAAAATGCTTTTGATGACGAAAAACTTCGTTTTTAAGCGAACTTTAGATGAGAAAAGCTCGGCGACTATTCTTCGATATCGGGGCGCCCTGTACCGCTATTTCTACCTCCTGGTGGCCATTTTTGTGGCGGTCCTCCTCAGTTTCTACTACCTGATGGTCTACCTGAATGGCGCCTTCCACTGGTCAGCCCTCTCGCTGCTCTACTGGAGCACCGTCTTTCCAGTGGCCATCTTTCATGTGATTATCGGTAAAATTTTGTTTTATTGATTTAAGTCAAATTCTGATCGTTTTGATCATCAACTTTTTTTTTTACTTTTTGCTCCAGTTTTCTACGGCATGCCGCTGATCATGGTCACCACCTCGGTGGTGGTNTATCGGTAAAATTTTGTTTCATTGATTTAAGTCAAATTCTGATTGTTTTGATCATCAACTTTTTTCGACTATTTGCCCCAGTTTTCTACGGCATGCCGCTGATCATGGTCACCACCTCGGTGGTGGTCATTCTGGTGCAGCAGAGGGCGTCGCTGGAGAAGATTTGCCAGCTAAACGTGGAACTTTTTGGCAGCTCCAGAAAAGGGTTAACTCAGCAAAAAGTTTACCGGTTGAAAAGAAGTTTCAACCGTTTAGCCTTCACAACAGTTCACCTGTCCGGAACTGTGGCCGCCTACAGCCGCCAGTGGTCCGCCTACCTGAGCACCATTGTTCCCGTTCAGGTGCTCTCCATTTCCAACCTCTCCTTTATTCTCTTCTTTGCCGGCGACATTTCCATCACGCTGAAGTACATGTTCCTCTTTGCCGACCTGGCCCTCACGGTGCTGCTCTTTGCGCAGATGAACTCCTGCGCTCAGGTGGTTCGCCATCAGGGCGCATTTGCAAAGCAGTGCTTGGCTTTTACTCGAAAGCTAGCTCAACTTGGGCAGCTGTCACCGGCAGAGCAGCTCAAGTATCAGGTTTTAGTGGTAAACAAAAAGTTTGCCTTTGCCTTCCTGGACGATAGCGCCATCAAGCCGAGCACCTTTCCACTGGTAAACAAATGACCAAGCTTTACAAAATCAAATTTGGTTTAATTTTGCTGTTTTTTGGTTTTAATATAGATTTTCTCCTACTGCGCAATCTTTCTCCTTATGATTGCCAAAAGTACTTTTTGAGTTTTAAAAATATTAATAATAAAACTGCCATCAACTCGGGCACTTTTCCGCTGGTAAAAATGAAATTGATTTTTTTATTGGGAATAAATTTTACCAACTGTGTTGTTTTTATTTTAATGATCATAACCAAAAATCAAAGTTACCATAAATGTGTCAAAAAATGCTTTTTTGTGAGGTAATTCTTAAACAAGCAATACAATTTTTTAAAACTTTAAATGTACTCAAAAAAACATTTTTTGTGGTACTTTAAACTTTTATTACCAAAGTTTTAATCATTACTTGGCAGAAAAAAACATTTGAATTGCAATTGATTTTTTGCAAAAACTATAATTTACACAGTTTACTTTATTACAGTTTTGCAAAAACGGCTAGTAAAAAAACTTTATTTTGATTATTTTCCTTACAACTGTCTACATTTTTAAAAAATTTTAACATTTGATGCAATTATGTTGACACTACTGACACGACTTTACCTCGCTCTGGTGCAGTACCTCTTTACTTTGTTGGCTTTTTATGACCCCATTACTGGCTCCAGCGACAGTCCAAAAACCGAGGACAGCAATTTTTTGGGAGTTTCAATTGACCAACTGTACAACAGCCGTACAAAACAGTCCTCCTCCTCCTCCTTTCTCTGGCCATTCATTTGGCTAGTGCTCTTTGAGGTGATCGGCATCTTTGGCCTGGAGATGGACTCTAGCGGGTGGCCACCGTGGCCACCCGGGCCACTGTGGTCGCAGCTGGCCACCTCGCCGGTCATCTTCGCCCACCAGATCATCCCCCGGGCGGTGTGGCCGCAGATTGACCTCTTCATCTACACGGCGGTCAACGGGGCGCTGGTGGCAGCGGCGGCTCTCTACCGAACGCCACCGGTTGGTGACGCCCACCGGCTGGAGGTGAAGAAACAAGAGGAAAGAGGAGGAAGAGATAAAGGAAAGAGGCTTTTGGTGACGAAAAGTTCTACCTTTATGTTTAGAAGAACACTACTAGATGAACGCATCTCGGCGACGATTCTGCGCGTTCGGAGCGCCCTCTACCGCTATTTCTACCTTCTGGTGACCATTTTTGTGGCGGTCCTCCTCAGCTTCTACTACCTGATGGTCTACCTGAACGGCGCCTTCCGCTGGTCAGCCCTCTCGCTGCTCTACTGGAGCGCCGTCTTTCCGGTGGCCATCTTTCATGCGATTATCGGTAAAGAAAAACAAAGAAAACATTTCATTTATTTGATTTAGAAGCGCTGAGTGAGAGTGAACACAAGCATACGTAGTCCAGACTGACTTTAATGGCAAAGAGTAGCTGCTTATATACACAAACAGGCGACGTAACTTCGAACTTCTCAAAGCCACGTCGCTAGCGGCCTATGGGCCGCTACTCCTCCCTGCCAGTCTTCGACGCATCTTATGAGGTCCAGTCAGCCATCCGACGTCGTCGACCATCGCCCACTTCACGTCCCGCACTTCGGCCGAGGACCAGCATGCGACTTCGCGCACCACGACGCGGGGCCAGCGTCCACACCGTCGACTTGGTCTTCAGGCTGGCTGGGCCTTGGGCTGCTCGCATCGAAACGCAGAGGCCTGAGTCCATCTCACCGTTGCCACCAGAAGCGCTGAGTGAGAGTGAACACAAGCATACGTAGTCCAGACTGACTTTAATGGCAAAGAGTAGCTGCTTATATACACAAACAGGCGACGTAACTTCGAACTTCTCAAAGCCACGTCGCTAGCGGCCTATGGGCCGCTACTATTTGTAATTTTGTTAATTTTTTCTTATGATGTTCACAACTGCCAGTTTTCTACGGCATGCCGCTGATCATGACCTCCACCTCGGTGGTGGTCACTCTAGTGCAGCAGAGGGCGGTTCTAGAGAAGATCGGTCAACTGAACGGGGCACTCCTTGGCAGGCTGAGAAGGAACTCAACTCATCAGCAGAAAGAGGTTCACCGGCTTAAAGCTGATTTCCGACGGTTGGCCTTCACTACCGCCCACTTGTCGGCCAGCGTAGCCGCCTACAGCCG